TGCTTACAACAGGCAAGGTAAAGAGCAGCTGCCTCCTGAATCCCTTCTTGAGCATGCATGAACAACAAAATAATGAGAAAAGAGGAGAGTGGGTAAGCATGCCCCACCAATTGCCCCCAGTATCATTTTTAAAAAGCATAGATCTATAAATGAAGGCAGGTGACAGAAAAAAATAATCCCTGAATGCATTTTAGAAGAACATTTTAAGTGGTTCAGAACTGATATAAGGATTACCTGACCCAGTTGTTTTATTCCAGACATGCATGTTGTTAGTTTTGAACCAATAGTTTACTGAAACATGTTGAAGTGCTCTTCTTATGGGGGGTCCAGAAACCTTCTTTCCATATTACCTCTGTTGCTGGCATCATATTTTATATTAAAGACAGAATGCCCTGGAGCATATCTACTTTGTTGACTGATATACCTATATAACTTTAGTAACTCTTATCCTGCTAAGCTTCTTTTTATTAAATAGCATGCAGTGGTTTATTTGTGTTGTAATTTTTATATTAACTATGTTATCATCATTATCATTGTCATCATTAGGCTGCCCTTCCCTTTTGTCCACCGCTTCTGAATACTGCTTTGGGAATCCACAATAAAAATCAGTTTGCACATCTTTTAAGTAAAATAATATACAGAACATGATGCTTTGACCTGGAAGCTCTTCTCATCTTGCCTTCTAGCCAGTTAACATGATCGTTTGCTAAGGTTTGGTCCATTAAATTCCCTCCCATAAAGTTAGGCAAGATGAACAATGGTGTTGGAAAAATGTTTTTACAAGAGTGATGTTGTATCACTTCTGGACTGAATAAAAGTGCTGCTGGTGTTGTCTTGTGGTTTCTACTTCTTTCTAGGTTTTTTTTTGTTTTTTTTGCAAAGTAATATTTGTGTATTAGTCAGAAATTCAACAAGTGTAGCAATCTTCTTTCTCAGAAGTAAGAGTGCCAAAAAGTAAGAATAAAAGCACAGTAAATAACATGACTTCAGCGCTGCCATATATCCCCTGCCACATTGTACCTTCCAACTGTCCTGACTTGGCAGGGGTGGTCCCAATTAATCTCCTGTATTCCCAGTTTTTTAGCTGTTTTTTAAATGTCCTCATTTTCCCCTCCTCCTCCTCCTCCTCTGTCCTCAACTTACTTCCATTGCTGAAAACTTAAGTTCAAAGTGCAAAAGCAATTTGCACTCCATTAACTCAGCAGGCAGGAGAAGAGCAGACTCAGTCAAAAGCAAATTGCTGAAGCCTCTTCCTCATTAATAACTTTTGCCATCTTGACCACACACTGATGCTGCTTGGCCAAGTCCTGGTTTTCATCTGTGAAATGTTGGAGGGCTTGCCATGTAGGCACCAATGCTTTTCATAGGACGTTATCACACGTGGGCCAGTT